TCCTTGCCACCTTCCTTTCTAGCCCCGCCCCCAATAACCCCGCCCCATGCCTTCACCATTAGCCCTACCCCAACTTGCTCTGCCCCATTCTGGACCTACCTGTTAAGCCCCACCCACAGCTAACCCTGCACCCTCTGGCCCTACCCCCAGGCTGTGAGGTGGTCCCGGATGTCAACCTATCGGGGGGCAAATTCTGCATCAAACTGCTGGTGCCATCACCCGAGGGCATGAGCGAGGTGCATCTGCGCTGCCAGGACGTGAGTGAGGGGGCAGCGCCTCCCTGGGGGCAGGGCCAAGTGTGAGTGAGTTACCCCAAGACGGTGAGGACAGATGGGAGGTTATCCCAGGATAGCAGAGGCAGATGTGGGTGGATCCATATGTAACGGACTTATCCCAGGATACTGGGGACAGATGGGGGGGAGGTTTTCCCAGGGTGGTGGAGGCAGATACAGGTGGAGACAGATATAGGAGACTTATCCTGGGGTAGTGGGGACAGACAGGGGGGAGGTTGTCATGGAGTAGTGGGGACAGAGAGAAGTTATTCTGCATCTATCTTAGGATAATGGAGACATATGTGGGCAGAGCCAGATATAGGAGACTTATTTTGGGATAGTGGAGATAGATGGGGGTGGGGGCAGAGGCAGATGGGGGATGGAGTTAACCTGGGATAGCAGAGGCAAAAGTGGGCCGAGATATATGTAGAGGACATATCCCAAGATAATGGGAACAGGGGGAGGTTAGCCTTTGATAACAGAGACAGATGGGGCAGAGCCAGATGTAGAAAACTTATTCTGGGATACTGGGACAAACGGGGAGGTTATCCCATGAGATAACCCCCTTGGGGTGTCTCCACCCCATCTGTGCTATCTTGGGACAGCAGGAACAGCCGGGGGGTCATTTATCTCAGGAAAGAAGGAACAGAAAGGTGTGCTAATCTGAGATAGTGGGGATCAACAGTGGGGAAGGGAATTAACCCACTGCCTGTCTATTCCCACTATCGTGAGATATTTCAGGATAATAAGGTCAGATCCTGGTTATCCCAAGATAGTGGAGACAAACAGAAAGTGATTTATCTTGGAATACTGGGGACAGATGGAAGACAATTTATCCTGGGACAGTAGGGCCAGATAGTGATTATCCCAGGATAGTGGGCACAGATGGCAAATACCTTATTTTAGATTAGTAGGGACAGATGAGAAGCAATTTATTCTGGGATAATGGAGCCAGACAATAGTTATCCCAGGATAGTGGTGAGAGATGAGATTTATCTCAAGATAATAAGGCCAGCCTGTGGTTATCCCAGAACAGTGGGAACAGAAAAAAAGTGGGTTATATCCCAGGATAATGAAGACAGCAGTGGTAATCTTGGGATAGTGGGGACACATGAGAAGTAAATCATTCCAGGCCAGTGGAAACAGATGAGAAGCAGATTATCCAGGAAGGTGGGGACAGATGAAGGGGGGAAGGGACATCATCCCAGGATAGAAGGGACAGACAGGCAGTGGGTTATCCCGGGATAATAAAGGCAGCCATTGGTTGTCCTGGGATAGTGGTATCATGATGAGAACTGCATTATCCCAGGATAGTAGCAACAGACAGGAAACCATTCATCCCTGGATAGTATGGACAGACTGGCTAGCCTGGGATAGTGGGGACAAACAGGAATGGGAGGAGAGGAGTCCCACCCCCCTGGGCGATGCCCCACCTCCAGCTGTTGCCCCGCCCCTCAGGAGAAGCAATACGCCCACTGGATGGGTGCCTGCCGTCTGGCTGCCCGGGGCCGCACCATGGCCGACAGCACCTACAGGGCCGAAGTCCAGAACATCCTGGCCTTCCTGCAGCTGCAGCGTGCTGGCTCCATCTCTGGCCCCACTGCCAACCCCACCCCTGCCCCTGATGGAGCAGGGCCCACCTGGCTCTTCCCTCCACGTTACCAGAAGAAGTTCAAGCCCAAACAGGTAAATTGGAGGGCAGGGCGGGGGGGAGGCAGTGGAGGTTATCCCAGGATAGCTCGGATATATACAGGTGTTATCCTGGGATATATGGGGGAAGTTTCTCTGGGATAGTAGGGACAGACAAAAAGGTTATCCTGGGATAATGGGGACATGTATGGGGTTATCCTAGAATAGTGGGGATAGATGGGGGTTTATCCCAGGAGAGTGGGGTCTGACAAAGACTTACACGGATAGTGGGGGCACATGGAAAGTTATTTTGGGATAGATGGGGGGTTATCCCAGGACAACAAAGACACATGGGGGGTTATCCTGGGATAGGGGAAACATACATGGGGTTTTCCTGGGACAGTGGGGATAGATGGGGAAGCTATAGGGGGCACCCAGGATAGCAGGGACTGCTGGGTGGAGTAACCCTGGGGCAGAGGGGACAAATAGGGGATAATCTGTATTAGTGAGGGATAACCTAGAATAACCCAAGGCTAAATTAGGGTCGCAAGGGGAAGGGCTACCCTTGGATTACACCCCCAGCACAGTACCCCCTATGGGGGATAAGAGCAAAGGGCCCCTCCCCCTAAGCCCAGTTCCTGGGTGGTCTTCCATCCACACTGGGACCACCCAGGACCCTGCTTAGCTTGGGAGGCTGATGGTGCCCCCCATACCCCCCACAGTTAACCCCACGTGTGCTGGAGGCCTACCAGAACGTGGCCCAGCTCTCGCTGACCGAAGCCAAGATGCGCTTCCTGAAGGCGTGGCAGGCGCTGCCCGACTTTGGCATCACCTACTTCGTGGTCAGGTAAGTGGGATGGACCCAGACATCTGGGACTCCTTGCCCCCGTCCCCTCCCTTCCCAGAGGCAGAAAGGACCCAGGTCCGGGCTCCCAGACCCACCCCAATCACTCCATTCCCCTCCCAGACCCAGGGAGAACCCAGGTATCTGGACCTCCACCCCTGCCACCCAATCCCCCAGCCCTATCTCCACGCCCAGAGCTGCAGGGAACCCAGGCGCCCAGGCTCCTAGAACCCCGC